CAGCAGTGAGCAGAGGTTTTGGGCAGTGGCAAGACAAGAAGACGTTACAAACACCAACACCGATATTACTGGTGATGCCAGCAGCACGAATCATCCTGCTTATGGCTCAACGACGTTACCTATGCAAAAAGTAGTAACCAAGCCAACCGCAGCAGTAGTAACACAGGTTTTTCATAAGGGCACATGCAGATTTTGGTACTATCACTAAGAGTAGCTTCAATCGTAGCAGTAGCAACGAGCACTGCCGCAAAACGGCTCAATATTGTTGGAACCCACATTACTCCGAGAGCTATCGAGCTGTTTGGGCCCTGAACAGGAGCACCTCACGTGGCGGGAAACTGAAGAGGCAGCGAAAGCTGTGCCTTCGGTCGCCTTTCGGCTACCTGGGGAGGGCCGCCTGAGGGGTGTCTCGGCTGGTAGACCTTTCGAACAGTGTTCAGCCGAAACTCCGTTGTTTTTGCATGATGGAGAGTAGTCCCAAAACTTGGGCACCAGATGCCAAACACAGTTTTTGAAGGGTGTACCTCTTGCTTGACTGCTTATCCCTCCTCAGGGTCTCCAAGTCGGCCCCACCTGGTGGTCTGGCAGTTCTGCATCCATGCTTCCACGGCCGGCGAGGCCGTCACGATGATCACCCGTCAAGACCCCAGACCTTGTGACGACGATTAGTAGTAGTCGACGTCGTCGTCGTCGTCGTAGTAGTAGTAGTAGTAGTAGTGGTAGCAGCATGAGTGGCTGTGGCAGTAGCAGTATCGGTAGCGGGAGCGGTAGCACTAGTGGGAGGAGGAGTAGAGGTAGGAGTAGCAGGAGCAGTTGCGCAATTGCAGTTGGAGTAGCAGCAGGAGTGTAGGAATAGGAGTAGCAATAGCAGTAATTAGCAGTAGCAGCAGCAGGAGGAGTAGTAGTACCACCACCACTACTACCACTACTGCTACTGCCACCACGACTACGACTACCACTATCACTACCGATACCAATACTACTGCCACCACCACCGCCACGAGGGCCACCGCCAGGGCCGCCCCCACTCCACCACTACCACTACTCGGCGAATCCTTTGTCTTATGTCTATGTGTTTACATGTGTAGTGTGCGTGTGATCTGAGGTTTCCTCCATGACGACTACAATGTAGAGTTTCGTGGCAACTCACTTGCCACGAAAATGTGCCGCAACTACCGGCCGATGTTGTGCGCAGAGGGGCGCAACTTTGAGTTCTTGGGATGGGTGTACAAGGCGGGGTGGACCATTTCGGCCTGCAGGAGCGGGGGACGAGTTCTGTGAGGTCTGTTCTGCGTCCCTTTCCCATCCCATCTTCATTGATACTAGTAGCTTGCTAGCAACAGGATCTTCATGATCGGGGTCCCAAGAGGGACCCTTTCCGCTGTGTCTGCAGTGACAGGTCGGGTCTAGCATGCCCTTCCCGGAGCTCTCCAAGGCTTTCCGTCAGGAGATGATGCCACAACTGTCAAGAGCCGCCGCTTGGGTTCGGACAAAGTCGCACCATTTTCCCTCCTGTTGGGCAGTACCTTGTCTCGTCGAACCATACCATTTTGCAACTCGCTCAGGATGTATGGATGTGCTCCATTCCGGCAGTCTGGTGCTGGCTTCTTTGGGACGCAGCACAAGCGCACCCCGATGCTTTAGGCCGCACTACACCGATCTTTGCTTATCTAGGCGCGGGATAGAGATGAGCTCTCAGCCAACACCGATGGCTTCCTTGAAGTATCTTCAAGTGTTGTGTTGAGCAACCCTGCAAGGCCTGCCAATTCTACAACATGTGCAGCGGAATGAACGCACGGCTTTCTTGGAAGCTTTTGTAGTGCTGGGCAAGAACGGGCGCAATATCATGGCAGCGAACAATGCCTACTTGGCTGAGGAGGTTCTCTGGTCATAATATCGAGTCGTCATATCAGAATATAGCATGATCTCAAAGTTTCAAAGAATGCAGTTGTTTGCAGTCGACGTTGCCGGCAGGTGGCGTGGCAGACAGGCCTGCGAGTTCCAACGTTGAGAATACACGGGCTCCACACCAATGCAACGTACCTGCCGCTTCGCATGTCCGAGGCGCTGATCGATTGACAATAACACTTGCTTGTTGCCAGAGTTTGTTGCAGAAGGTATTGATATCTCGGCCTGGAACCAGCGGTGGATGGCAGGAGTGCATTCTGAATCGCTTCGTGGATGCGAACCCTGACTATTCACTACGGTTCGTGCAATTCACAGACCTGCTGACGCACGCCGGCACTGGGGGATTGGTCTTGGGCTTGTAGATGCTGAGCATGCATGATCCCTGAATTGCGCCAAGGGACCCGCACACCATAGAAGAGGCACGGGCATTGCAGAGTGGACTGGAGAAGGTAACAGTGCCTGGCAGGTCTACGTCGACACACTCTCTTATCAGAGTTTGTCCCATTATCGAGCTGTGGTGCCTCGGAAAAAGAAAAGCTGTCAATTGAAGATTGGCGTGAACATCATGGCTTTTGCGGCCTGTAGGTGGCCTTCCCTTATGACACGTCCCTGATGTTTTTCTGGGAGTTCTATTCGATGAACATGCCGACCTTCGCTGGAGTCCCAGGCATTTTTGTGTGGACATTTGCGTCCTACAGTAGCTGAGACAGGCTCAACTCAGCTCAGGTGCCCTTCCAGCTCTGGCATTGGGGCATCTTTGGTGGGAATCTTACGGAATCTAAAAACTTTTTTCGAACCTTGAATGAGGAGAGCTTGAAGAAGCTGCTGAGAGGTCAGCACACGCGACCGGACTTGGGCGAGCTACAGCTCCTGCCTGGGCGAGGCGGGAGATGTGCCACTGATGCTTTATTGTCAGGTTTTTTTGGCTAGGTGCTGCTAGCAGCACTCTCATGCCCGAAAGGCCCGGTGCTTTCGACGCTGACTCCGGAAGAGGTCTGCACCCAAGCAAGTCTCGGAATTTTGCCGATTGTCAGTTAGTTCAGTGGAGCCAGGACCGGATGCCAAACCCCTTCTTCGATGGCTTTGGCGCTTTGGATTTGCAGCCGGAGCCTTCCGCAGCTGGAGCCTCTGCCGCCTCGGCGTGGCCACTGAGTCAGGCGTGCAATCTTCTGGTCCAAGTACACCGACTGGGCCATGTTCCCGCACGTGCAGTATTTTAAGCCTGCAACCCAGATTCAGAGGACGGCTTCTTGTTCCATCAAGGGGTCAGCATTGCGAGAGGGCTTCGTCGGTGCAGGTCTTTGCCGGACCTCATGAGTCAGCTGGTCGAGGTCGACCTGCAGGCGGGTCTGACTGTTGTTTCAAGAAGAGGAACGGCGGAACCACCATCCATGCCCTCTCGACAGTCAGCCAAGGGCCCGGTTCAGGGACACGGGTTTCGTAGCACTGCTTGAAAGCTAGGAGTGCAGCAACAGGCCGTGTCCGCGGCCATGAAGAACTTCAATGAGGAGCATGCCATGTTTTTTCCAACTATACGCTCGTGAGAGCTGACATCATGTCGGCAACGATGTTGTTTCAAGCTATCGACTCTCGACGATCGAAACAGCATGTCCTGTATACCAAGTGTTCGGCGCACCGAGTATGATCTGCGCTTGGGAGTGGGCTGCAGTTTGCAGATGAAGTTCTCGACGCGTCCAGAAACGCTAGCAGCTTGACAGATGAGATTTATCTTAAATTGGCGCAGGAGTGTCTCGTCAAAAGCGCGGCTACATGGCGATACGTCGCGTGCTCAAATGCTTCTGAGTCTTCAGACTTCGGCTTTCGCTGCACAGAAGGTGGCAGAATCTCCCCCAGTGTGAGGTGGTTGAGCGCTTCCTGGACTTGCAGATGCCAGCTGCATGAAGCTGCGGAGGCAGGGGAGGTTCACTTTCACATCGTGCAGCCTGTGAGAGCCAAGAGCTGCATCTTGCGTCAGAGTGAGAAACTGCATTTTCCAGGCAAGGCCACTAGGTTCTCGGGGCCAGGCCTTCTGACGCAAGTGGCCAGTTCTTGGTCGAGTACCTTGCGCCCAAGTTGCCGCGCGAGGTGCACACCAAGACACCGCAACATGCCACGAGCGCAAGTTTAATGTTTCCGGTTTCAAGCTTCCGGGCTTCCGGACCCCGGAGGGCATGGCTGCGGTTCGGGCATACGATGCCTGAGCAACTATCGGCGGTTCTGGAGCCGATGCCAGCCGAGGACAGCAGGGTGAGTTTTCCACGGGAAGAGCTGGCAGGGAGTCAGGGAGCCTTGCAGGACGGTGTGCTGGAGTTCACCTCCCTGAAAGTCTGAAAGCTCTCCGTGGATGGACGTACAGAAGGTGGAGGGGCATCCGCCTGCTCGATTCTGGAAGCGTTTAGCATTTGTGAAGGTGACGAGTGCAGAATCCGGAGGAGGGCTAGTGACGAGTGAGCTGATGACGAGACTCACGAATTCGGACCTTCTACAACTGCGACTCCTGCAGCCCAGCGTGAGCTTCAACCTCACCGCTGCTTTTGTGAATGATCATGCCGGGGAGGCCAGGGGAATGGCACCCTGTGCTAAGGAAAAGCTTTTCCACTTCCAAGTTTCCGGTAGACGGAGGTCCACTCTGGAGTCACTTGAAGAGCTGCTCAGCTTGCGAAAGGAAGACCCCTTGCCACGGGATAAGATCCTAGATAGTCGAGTGCTCGAACATTCAGCTCAAGGATGTGGTCTCGCCGGACACCAGGTAAATTATGGCCCTGACTCTGACTTTGAAGTGCGACGTGACGATCTATGTATGCAGGGTAGTTGGAGTCCCGATGAACGATGTAAGAGTGCAACGCCTTGCACTGTCACAGAAGTCTGGACAGGTTGTAGAGGCTTCCAGGTCCCAGATCCACAGGTAAGCAGTCACGCGGAGCGTTTCGCTTGCCCATGCAGCTTTCTGGATTGAAGTCGTGCGCAGATCTTGAGACACTTAGTTTTAGGAGTGTTGGCCGAGGAGTATGGCTGCGTATAGCCTTAAGGATAGGCTGCCGAATCATGCCCATCCGAAAGTCCAAAGTCCTGTGTTTCCCTGAGCAGCGAGCATGGGTGCCAGCTGCTGTGGCAGCCGAGAGAAGTTGGACGAAGGAGACAGGTGGGACGTGTAGGATAAGACAGCTACGTAGCCAGACGCAGTCGGAGCTTTAGTCTTGGAGCCAAGCCTAGAAAGTAGCAAGCAGGCGCGGGGCACTCACGCAAGGAGGGCATGCCACTGTAGTCCAGGCTGCATTATGCGGACTTCCCGGCAGGCTTGGCCTGTGCTTCGGGGACAAGGCGAAAGAGGAGGTTGCGGCGGAGGCTCGGCAGGAGCAAAAGGAGGCAGAGGAGGTGAGGAGCCTTCAGTTGGTGGTTCGGCGGACCTTCCTGAACTTCGAAGTGGTGGAGCCCGAGCCCAGGGCACAACGACGGTCGCTCAGCGAGCCTCCACTCCGAAATGCTTGTGAGAAGGGCTTCGACGAAGGGCAGGAGGAAGTGGCTGTGGTGCCGGATTGCGCCTGTATGCAGGCTGGGAAGATGTCGCACCCGGCGGACAACCCCTATGAGCCGCCGCATTGCATCTGGGAGCCACAAGTCCCTAGCAAGCCGGAGCCGGCCGCCTTTCAGCTCCAGAGGGCGGTGCATTTCCTGGAGGGGCCGGTTCGATGGGAGCTATACGCGCCAGGCTCATGCTGAAAATCCCAGATCCTAGACCCATCTACACCGGGAGTTAGGGTAGTTTACGACAAGATTGAAGCAGAATAATAGGACCAAGCAACCGTAGCCGATGGCAGGCGCTGGCAAAGGGATCGGAGAGATCTCATGGACTTATTTTGCCTGGTGAATTTTGCATCTTGTGTGGAGCTGGTGTGGCAAATCGTGCATCACAACATGCGGAGCGGGAAACATGTTCCTGCGACCAGGGTGCGGGCCTTTACGATTATCAGGCCACATCGCTGCTACAGATCCGCTTTGATCTATGCGATGTGGAGATGGATGTGAAATTGATGTGAAATGTCAAAGTGACATCGAGCTGTGGGATAAAGGTGCAGCTGGCAGCAATGTCTGCCGCTTGGATCTTGGAAGACGTTCTTCCATTCTTGCTACTTTGAGGAACGATGGCTGACATTGCAAAAGCATGGCGGTCATCTCGGATACGAACTGACAATGCCATGCGACGGACACAAATTTGGGGCGACCTGCGAGGTATAGCTTTGTTCTCGAACTAGAACTTCCGGCGAACTCAGGTAGAACATGCGCTAGTGGAGATGACATCAAAGTCAGAGGCCGTCACACGATTGTGATCAAGTTTGCCTGCTCTGTGATTGCTCACAGTTTGAGATGATGGCACGCAGAAGGTGCTGAGACAGTTGAAGTTTTGTTTTAGTGCTTGTGTTACAGGTTTCATGGCTTTGAAGTGAATTACATCAACAAATGTTCAACGGTAAAGCCCGGTAAAGTAAACGTCGGCAAAAGAACAGAAGGGCCAGATGCTCCTCCGGTCCAGGGCAGGAATGTGTGTTTGCACGGTGCTGCTGCTGCTGATGTGCTTGGAGTTGGGCTCCAGCCGGAAGCAAACTGTTTGGCATATCTACAGCCATGAAGCAGCAACACATACACACACCCGCACACACTCACACTCACACTCACATGCACACTCACGCGCACGCGCGCACGCTGACATAGCATGGCAAGAGCACAGCTCTGCTGCAAGCCACTTCAGGATCGCCCGTCCATCGTGCGAGCAGCGCCCGGCATTGTTGTAAGATGAAGGCAGTGCCAAAGCATGCCACTGCAGATCCTCACAGACGTGCCCCCGTTGCCTGCCAACTATGCCCGCCGTGCTGGACTTTCCGATTCTGTGATCAAATCCCTGCAGAAATGCCTGAAAGCATCAGGGCTGTGTCTTGTACATGGTGCTGGAGGCATGGGCAAAACAGTCGCCACGTGTGCGACGCTGCTTGATGAGACCACCTTGTCTGAGACCTTCCCTCAGGGCGCTGCATATGTCACTGTTGGTCAGAGCCCAGATGTGCTGAGCTTGCAATCGACTCTCCTGCGTGCTTTCGGGGTGCATGATCCACCGGCCGATGTTTCGGATGGCTACGCCCGTCTTTACAATGCGTTGTCAGGGTGCAAAGTTTTAGTCGTGCTGGACGATGTGTGGAATGCATCGCACCTGGAGTGCTTCGTCCCAATGCGAGGGCGCCCAAAGACCTGGAGCAACGTGGCAGTTCTTGTCACCACTCGGTTCGCAGATCTGGTGCAGAAGGCGGAGTTGCTGCGCTTGGGTGACCTGACGGACAGCAGCCTCCATGGTTTCATGATGAGTAGTAGTAGTAGTAGTAGTAGTAGTAGTAGTAGTAGTAGTAGTAGTAGTAGTAGTAGTAGTAGTAGTAGTAGTAGTAGTAGTAGTAGTAGTAGTAGTAGTAGTAGTAGTAGAACCTCCGCAACAAAAGAGCTCCCTGTGAGGACGCGGAGTCGCGGGAGCTCCTCCACTTGAAAGGACTGCGCTGCTTGGGATTCCCGGTGCATTCTCGGACCCATCGGAGCATACTGAGTACTGTCTAGGTGCGAGAGACAGTTTAGACTTTTCACATTCCACTCATTTCTGCCAGACTCCGGAGGAGGAGACGGTGCCCTTCTGGCACGCCTTGCAAAGCTCTGCTCACGCTCCCCTTTGGCTTTGTCCATCCTCGGTGCCACAGGCCCGGAGTCGGGAGTCGGGCCCGACGCTTTCGTAGTTCATCCTCCAAGGGAGATATAAGACATACAGGGATCTGGTGTGCCCGCTTTGTCCGTCTTAACACATCGGAACCGCAGAAAGTCTAGCACAGTTCGGCTTTCAGAGGAACAAGAGTCTTGCAATGAGTTAGAAATTCGGACTGAATGAAGAGTTCCTCTGACTGCCGAGATTTGCAGTGAGCCGGCCCCACTACACAACACTTTGCAGAAGCTCCCTGACATCTCTGACGGCCTTATTTGTCAGAGGCCAGCTGGAAGCAGACCGCGATGCCAGCCAGAAGCGAGCCGCACAGGGAAGGGCATGTGGGACATGTGATGTCTCTCTGGGATGTGCCTGGGGGCTTGCAGCATATCATGTGGTTGCAAAGGTTTTTTCCAAAGTTGCAGTGCTGAGTGTTTCTTCAGGATTTCACTTCAGTTCCGCAAGCTGTAGTGTTGATAGGGGGGTGAGGTTTCGGGTTCAGGGGCCCCGAGATTTTTTCAGTATGTTTTGTGGTTCGGGCGAAGGTATGAAGTTTGGGGTGAAAGGTTCCTGCTTCAACCGGCAAGCAGGGCCTTGTAGCATAAGAAGCGTTCAGATGAGGACCGTAACAAAGACTAGCATCGATATCAACATTATCAGAAGCAGCAGCAGCAGCAGCAGCAGCAGCAGCGGCAGCAACACTAGCAGGAGCAGCGGCAGGGTTGCTCTTGTCTTACTCATCGTTGCGGTATGTTGCGGTGTTGTGTCTATACACTGTGCTACTGTACGCTACGACGAGACAGGTTACCTGAACCATCTTTAATTTTACCAGCAATTGCCAGTGCTGGTCCTGACAGCGGGAACGAAGCCTGACAAAGGCCTGTGACCGTTCTCACTGCATTCTGTGACGAGCTTGCGGCACAGGAGAAGGCACCTACCGCTTCGTTCCAAGCCAAACCGGTATTCCTATTTCCCATGCTGGTGGACCGCAAGGCAGAGCCCAATGCCATCAAGCGCTGCATTGGGCTGGCACATAAACGGCTGGACCAGCAGGAAGTTTCCTGGAACAGCCTTCGAACAAGTTTGCTGCAGCCGCATAACACGGCTCAGGACAAGGACCTCTACTTGGGCATGGCTGTATTCCCTGATGATGTGCTGTTGCCGGTTGCAGCTTTGCGTGCCTCGCAGGCAAAAAATGACACCACCACCGTTAGGGTTAAGTTTTCCCGCGCCAAGTTGAGGTACAATCTTCCGCGACAAGGATCTGGACACTCAGCTGCCCCGACTGGAGCGACTTCACCTCATTCGCACATGCCTCAGGCAAGCATGAACAGCATCGCTCTTGCCGGAATATTGTCTAGCGCAAACAAAAGCAACCAGCAGAGGCAGGGAAGAGGGCGCTGCAGGCCCTATGTGGATTGAGTCAGATCTATGCACCTCCACTGCACGTACCGGAATTAGTTCAGCTTTGTGTGTCAGATGGTCCCCGAATCCGCCTCCACGATCTTTCCTTGGAGTTCGTCAAAGAGCAAGCTGCGCGATGCGGTGGTGAGACGGCTCTCCATCAGGATGTTCAACGCACGCTTGTTGTTTCCAGTGCCTAGCTGCCTTCCATGCACATTGAAGCACCCCAGCCTACCCACGTCGACAAGATGAGACAGGAGCTCTTGACGAGTTACAGCTCTTGCCTGGAAGTCGAAGCCTGAGTCTCTTTGTGCGCTTTGCGGCTTTGCACGAGATATGGGAGTTTCCAAACATTGGGGGTACCATATTTTGGGGGTCCTTGCAATAAGGATCCCATTGTTTAGGGTACTACTTTAGGGTGCCCTATTTTCGGAAACTCCCATATCGTTGTTCGCCGGACCCCTCGTGCTGCCGCAGTTTTGCATCAGCACATGATTGGACATGAACTGAGGAGGATGTGAGTGACTAAGAAGCAGCACACACTGCATCGTGTACACAGTTTGTGCTAGTATAGCATACATACGCAGAACATCAATCGCTGCCAAAGACGCAGACACTTCTCTTGCTTGGCCGCTTGTCAGGGGCACGGCGCTTACGTACCTGCAGACTGGGCGGGGGTTCTTGTTCTCCAAGCCCATGCGAGTTCAATGAAAGCACAAAGGAACATGGCGGGCTACGGGGGCAACAGCCCTACAGGGGGCGACACCCCTGGAACGGGCAGGAAGCATAGCTCCATGCCGGATGGTGTGATCGAAGAGAACGTGGTCCTCTTTGCGGTTCCGAAGAAGGGGAGGACGCTTCAGAGTTTCAGCTTAGTTTCTCTTAGCGGGACTGAAGATGGCATATATCAGGCTTTTTACTGATGCCATTTACTCGTAAAGCCCTGCAGCTCCCTGGTTGCATGTCACTGGATCATCTTTGACATCATGTTACATGATACGAGCTGAAAGCCTTGAATCGGAAAACCATCCAATTGCCGATGCCCTGCCGTGCCCAGCTCCAGGATCCACGAGGATGCCTCGGTCTCAGCCGGTAGCCACGAGCAGGTCTCGCAAAGATCACCAGTCGGAAGAATACCTAGACAGGATGAGGCACAAGAAGAGAGTGAGACGAGATCACAGGACTCGCACCTTTAGAAAAACAGGCTGTATCCGCAGAAGTAGCCGTGAAGATATTCAGAAATCACACGTAGCATGTCACTGCCGTAACTAGTTTCGAAGTGTAGTTGCTCTGAACGGCGTTGTGGTAGAAGCAGTGCTCTTCGCGATAATGTTTAAGCATCTCAAAGGCCGTGTCGTCGTCCTCGACATCGTCGCGTAAATTACAGCAGAAACAGTTGTCGGATCAGAAACAGCAGCAGCAGTCATTGCTACGAGGTTATGAAGATCCTGAAGGGAGCTGGCTTCGATGCCAAGCGTCCAGATCGCTTGGACGTGGCCATGTGCAAGGATCTCCCGATCAAGCTGGATTTGCCCTCAGTGAGTTCTGTCGGAGTTTGAGGCCTGAAAGCCTGAAAACCTGTTCAATCTTTGCAGTAAGGAATGTTACAGTTCAGGAAGTTGCCAAACTAGGCTGTGACGTACATGGCTGTCTTCGTGTGGACCTGTAGTGCGAACCGATGGTTACAAGGTCTTCCTGCCTGCTGCGGACATACCGAGCTATGTGCCCCGGTAGCAGCTGAGACAATCGTGGGTTCATTCAGGGCGCGCCCCTACTGTCGGTGCTGACTTTCTGGGCTCACCTTAAAAGCTGTTAGTGAGTCGACTTGTGCACGGTGTGATCCCAGGTCATGGAGGGAAATGTGGACATCGGCATTTCCGGGAGCGACATGCTCGAAGAGTCTATGATCCCCGACCTTCTTGAGATGGATGTCATTTCATTCAAACTCCTGAAGTCTTTCTTCTTCGCTCGTCTAACTTGTGCTTGGCTTCTGAGGATTGACGCTGGGTATGATGCAGAGTGTGCACCTGTCAAGGCACCGTACTCTCAGCTTGCCGCAATTCAGAAACTCTGGCTCCCGCTTTTTCTTCAGGTCATCCTCAAGCTAGGCATTGGAAAATGCAAGCTCTGTTTGCAAGCACCGCAGCAACACTGTGCATCTTGGCAGCATGCCATGTCAGAAGCTGCTTCTGTCAGCAACCCGTTGCTGCTTCTGTGTTTCTAGATCATCGTTCTTAGTGGGGGTTCTCGTAACAACGACAGTAACGATCATAGTAGAAGTAGTAGCCATAGGAATCCAAGCAGTCATAGCGCTAACTGTCACAACAGCAAGACTGAAGTAGTGCTAAATAGCAAGATTACTTCCAGCAAAATCAAACCTCAAATGCCGCTTGAATGATGATGTCAACAGATTCTAAGACTAATGCGTTCATGCCTTTATTGGCCATCTGAGGACCGACCTCCGAAGGACACTGCGACAACGATGTAACACAGGCTTCAGCTGTCCCTAAAACTCCTGAGCAGTATAAACTGAAATCCCGAATCCTGAAAGACTACAGAGGACCAACCGCAATCCTTAAATCTCACCGACCGCCAAAAATCAAATTGAGCTTGTGTAAGCGGCGTCACCAGCGCAGGATTTCGTCGGCCAGCGCATAGTCACATCGTTCCCAGCGCTGACGAAAAGATACTTCGACCGCCTGGCCGGTGAGGACATGCGCAGAGCTCTCCGACGTAGAACTCTTGCCGTGTGTGGCGTGCTAGCTGTCTTCTTATCGTTGTTATTCAGGTTATTGGTGTGGGTGGTGGTGGTGGTTGTCGTCGCGGTGGTGGTGGTGGCGGCGGCGGGGGTGGCGGCGGAGATGGGCATAGTGGTAGTTGTAGTGGTAATGGAGTAAGAGAGACATGACGAGGAGCGGCATCAGCATGAGGAGTATGAATGCCCTGTTTGCCAGGACTCGCAGCACAAGACTCACATCAAGGCTAGCCCAGGGCATGTCATCAAATCATTCCAATCACATCGGTTATTGTTTGCAGATGTCCTCGCAGTGATGGCGTTTCAGAGACCACTTTAGAAACCTCCTAGTTTCTGTAGTTTGGTTCGTAAGAGCAGCCACAGATCACCGCACTTCTTCGACAGACTCGGCGGCCCTGCCAAACAATGAATAGTCAGACCAAAGAGTATCACAGTCTCTCGTCTGTCTCGTTTCCATTGACTCTAGACTTTAGTGTTTCTGCAACCAAGCACACTTTCCGGAATGCACTAAGACTATACGAGGCCCGGTGCCTAGCAAAACATCAGTACCGCTGTGGACAGTGGGGGATTGGCACTTGCAAAGGGGATCTCAAGCAAGGAGGGCAAGCAGCATGCAAGCCCACCACAACATTAGGCCGTCCGGCTTTTGCCACCGAAACAAACGCGAACGTGAGGGGCTACAGGATGAATTGAGAGAAACACAGCAAGACACTCAGACAGACACACGCTGCAAGCCAGGAAGTGTCAGGCTCCGTCGAAGCAGCCTGTGGACTGGGCCTAGCAGACGTCGGCGCCCCACATCCTGGCAAGTCAGGTTTCGTGGGTTCTAAGGTTTGGGAAGTCGCAGACCTGGCTGGTTCTTTAAAGGTGGTGGTGGTGGTGGTATGGCAAGCGCCAGTCCTGGGCTTTACGCTCGGTCCGTCGGCTCGGGCTCGTAGGCCCCTTGGCTCATAGGCCCTGTTGGATCAGAGTTTGTTGTGACAATGCTCAAAGTTCAACCAAAGCCGGCTTGTCGGACCCAGAGGTGTTTGTCATGCCCTTGTCTCTTGTCTGTCACAGGTGTGCCTTTTGCTTCTTTCCAAGAGGAGGGTTCTATCCTGTGACCAGAGGCCGTGGTTGACCTGGTCGAAACTGGCACGACCATGAAGGCTGCAGGCAAGGATCTCAATGACCGCTGCCGCGTCTGCGTTTGGTGTTCATGCAACCGCAGGTCTGGACATTGTGTCAGAGGTCTTGGAGACCGAGGCGATTCGGACGGCAAGTGGATTGCCTTCAGCGTGCTACCCACATTTGCTGATATTTGCTATGAGGCCCTCCTATTTCAGCAGCTTCCGACAGAGGCATGGCTCCCTACTGCTGGCCATGTATCCTCTGCAATCTCCTGGAGATGCCAGGCCAACGGCTTGATAAGTGGAAGCAAAAAGGACGTGCTAAGGCTTATTGAGAGCAGCCTCTTGGCAAAGCATCTTTGCACAGCGTTGATAGCTGGAGCGGGCAGGGCAAACTAGGGGGCGTCGGTGAAGCTGTTGTAGAAGTTCTGTCGTGCAATCTTGGGAGTCGTGGACGTCTCCACAGCCCAAGGAGTGTCCGGTTACCTCACGGCCACCAAATACGTGATGATCGTGTGCAATTGTCACCACGACAATTTGGCGGCCGTTTGCCAGCTCTTGCCCGGCAAGAGATCACCCACGGTGACCGAGCTGACCCCGGGCTGCACATGTTGTGATACCGGGTATTCTCTGTAAGGAATCTTCCGGCCTACAGTGTCTGTGAGGGTTTGAGAAAGATGGGAAGAGGCGTGCTGCCAGCGACCGCACTACAACCACAACCACAACCACCATCGCACTAATCGTGAACGAACCCAGCACCACGCGCAAACACAGCACCACGCGAATCCACAACAAAGACAGCTGCGGCGCAGCCAGTACCACCACCGCCATTGTCGCCAACAGTTCTACTGCCAATACAAGCAGCAACATAAGCACAGCATTGAACCAGACGCAGACACCGACGGACGGACAAACGGCGGAACAAGGCTAGGGGTAACCAAGAGGACCGGTCTCTCAACACTCCTGAAGCAGCATCCCGAGGAAAGAGGAGAACTGGCACTCAGTGTCGTCACTGGTGAAGAACAACGAGTCGCCGCTTGTCAAGCACATGTACTGCAGCAGGTCCACATGCACTCGTTGGCTGCAGCCTTCCAGGAATCGCATAATGGATGATCTTGCGAAGGCGGCATTTGCCTGTGTGCCGGACAATTAGACAGTGTAAGCACGCATTTGGCAGCAGGTTGGGGCGAAAGACATTCTATGCCTCGCACTGGCCAACACGCGGATGTGATCATTTCCAGACTTCTTGCCGTCGTCCGGTTGGAGACCGGGTGCCAAATGCTTGATTCGGCGATGGTCTCCAACAAGAGGCAGCAGCCGTCAGATGTTGCCTCATGCTGTTTAAACGACCACATGCGTTGCAGTCATTCTCAAAGAGCGAGTCTCTTGACTGCCACAAGCAAACGGACAAGATTAGTGGTAAGGTGGTTGTTGGAGAGTAAGATGGCTCAGAAGAAACCTGCTTGAGTCATTGAGAATGACGCAGATGTTCCGCTGCTCCGCTGGGCCTTGCACAGTGTGATGTGGCTAAAGTATGTGTGCTCCGTTCGCAGGATGCTTATCTGCGGAAGCGAAAACAAGCCTGCTGGTACTGTTGGTGTGAGAGCACAGTCACGGAGATCTGTCAGTGGCGGTACCGGTCACGGCAAAGGCTCCTCAGAGATGGTGGACCGGGCCCGACGACGGGTACTATTATCAAAGGTCGCAGACTTACGAGTCGGTGCAGAACCGCGGGTTTCTGCTTGTGTGAGACCTCGCATTCAAAGTGGTAGTGATTCGCAAGTTCACGTAAGGCTCTTGCATCATCTGGCTGCGAGTGGCCGGATGGACGAAGCGAGAGAACTTCTGCTGAGGTGGAGCCGAGTCGGGCCAGAAGGGACATGTCACCAAGCAGAAGATCGTCTTCGGCAAGCTTCGATGTGAATATGCAGCATGCCAGAATCGTGACAAGGGCAGTCTTTCCACGAAGTTGGACTGAACGGATGCGTTCGGGGACATGACTTGCCAAGACGTCTCCAGTCGTCGTGGTTGAGCGGCCGCCGAAAGGTCCTTCCCGAAAACATGTCTGCTTGGATGCCCGTAGCTGTCCGGAATTCACTCAAGCTTCTTATTCCTCTTGCACCTCTCCTCATACGCCACATTGCCCAATGATTTTCAAGCACTGCAGTGGCCGTACTCTCTGTATGCGAAAGGAGGTTCATCTTGAGCATAGCAATCTTCTGCAGCATCATCTTCTTCTTCTGCATCTGCCGCTTGCATCACCATCGTCATCCCACGAAGCATCCAGCTGGAAACAGGTGGGAGTGGCTGGCTGCTCGACTTCGGCGTCCCGGCGATGCTGTGAGTTTAGCACCTTTGCGACACCCGGTAAGTTTTTGAATGACCCGGGCTGAATTCACAGCTGGCAAGCGCGGCCACAGTGCAGTCAGGTCGCAGACGTCCGAGCATTTGCCCCGCATGGTTCCCTTCCACAACAAACGACGAGTGGCAAAGGCTCGAGCCAGATAATGTCACGTTCCATCTTCTCCAGTTCCAGTGGCAGGTCCCGTGGGCTCAGCCGCCAGCGCCGCAACGGTTATGGGTGCCCCGCTCAACACTTCCGTTTTTGCCGCCACCATGCTGGCCGCGGCGCCCAGGCTCGTCGCAGCAGGCGAAGGCCACGAGTGAATCAGCGGCGCGCTCAGAAGAAGTCAGTTGTGCCGCGAGGCCAGAGCGTCGGCTACTCGCAAGGCACGGGCGGTTTACTGAGAGCGTGGTTGTGCTGCGCTGCTGCTGAATGAGAACTGCGAGGCTGCGGCCAGCCCGGCAACTGCAAAGGCCAAAGAAGCATGGCATGCAGTCAGACAAAGCTTGCCAGGATGAAGACAGGTAGGTCGCACAAGCCCGTGGTCTCATCCAAGGCTCGGCCTATGCAGAAGGATGGCGCCGCCACAGAGGAGGCAGTTTCGACGATAGTTCTCTGCAACGCGGGTAGGGGGGGCTGGTTCCTGGTGCATTTAAAACGTCGAAATCGCATGAACAGGTTGGCTGCATTGTGCTGCCAGGCAGTGCAGGCATTGAGCGTCTGGGAAGCATTGCTCGAGGCGCTGCGGCAGCCTTGCATAAATCCATAGCCGCTCTGCTTCCTCATGACTGCGATTCCCATGCCAGGTCTTGACTCTTTCTGCACACATCCTGACGGAGGATGCATCCCAGCTCGCCTTTCAAGCCACAGACTCAGCCGGAAGGTGCGGACATGTCCTGACGAGCAGGAAACGTGTGACTTTGTCAGGTGCTGGGGCGACTCTTGGAATCGGAGGTGCCCGAAGGCAGGGACCTTACAGGGCATATGTATACATACATACAGTAGTACATACATACATACGACTCGAAAGAGTGCATGCGAGTCGGAACCCCAATGAATGTGTCGATCCTCGGCCGCCCGTGTCACACCGACCAGCAAAACCCCAGCGTGCCGGGCGGAATCCGTGGGCTGTCCTCTGTGTGTGCTGAGAAGGAGAAGGAGGGAGAGAGAGAGAGAGAGAGAGAGAGAGAGAGAGAGCGAGAGAGAGAGAGCGAGCACTGCTCTCCCACCCGTCGGGGGCGCACAATGTGCGCGGTGGAGGGGAACTTCCCCTTCACCATAGCCCTGGCGAAAGAAAAGTGCGCTCTCCGAACCCTCGGCCTGTCCGTCTCCTTCACCCGCTCCCCGTAGGGGGGTAGTGGCGCTGCCTCCTTGGCTGCGTGGAAGCAGAGACAGAGAGAGAGAGAGAGAGAGAGAGAGCAGTAGTGACCCACCGCCAAGCCATGGAACCTCGCCAGCGCGGAGACCAACGGAAAGTACCCGACGACCGCTCAGTATGACAGCGGCGATGATCCGGCACTGGATGAGGCAGCTGGCGTGGCTGCTACGCGAACATGGGGGGCCGACCCAAGCTACCACCATGATAGAAGCTGTCATCTTGTCGCTGGACACCTTCCGGGACACGCTGCCGAGGAAGGGGGGAACCGTCACAGCTTGCACAGACTCGGGGGAGCCACTGCTCAAAAGACGGCGATTCCTGGACTACCTGGACATAGCGGCCATGCGCCTCCAAGATATCGAGGCGGAAAACTGGGAAGTGGATGGCATCCGCCAACAATGGATCATGCAAGCCCTGAAGGATACATATAAAGATATTCGAGCGGGCCAACATGTGCTGGACGTCCTCTTCGCGAAACAATGGGGGACACAGGTGCAGGTCAGCCATGTGGGGCTACACCAAGCCATGGATGCAGTGGCAGTGGCCGAGGGAGCAGCCACTCAAGGAGACTACGCCTGGCTTACGGAAGGCTGGGGGGCTGCAGTTACCACTCTCCTGGTGGATGCTGCAGACCTGATCGAAGAAGAACAACGCCTGAACGTGGTGCACCCGGCAGACGTAGTGGCACTGGAGCAAGGCGCAAACGAAGACACAGACCCAGAAAGGGGAAACATGATGGTGGGAACGTCCACCCTGCTGAGCCACAGCCTGGCGCTCTGTGGTATGCTTGGGGGCGCGGGAGACCAAGTCCGGCATATGCTCCTGGCGCTGCAAGCTGCGCTGGTACAGCCCGTGACCATTGACACCCAGACCACCGAGGAGGGGGGCAGCCAGCCGCCTACGGAGCTGTTCGGCCTTGACCAGGCGCAGACAACGGAACATGGTGGCGCATGGATCCCACCACTGACAACGGCACAGTGGTCAGGAAGCATTCCCAGCGCTGACGAGGGGGTGCAAGAACAGGAGGAACAAGGCCCACCAACGGAAAGCCAATGGGTACCAACTGATGACGAACTTTTGGCAGCCATGGAAGAAGCAGAAGCCCAGCGAGAACGTGACCTACAACAAGAAGCAACGGGGGCAACTGAACCTGATGCAGACAGTGACGGGGGTAGATCCGAGGCTAGCCATCGCCGAAGGCGTATGCATGCAGCAGTCTCTGACAAACACGGGGGGTTCTGGCACCCAGGGGAATGATTCCGATGTTGTTGACACTTGTGACGATAGGGCCGTGAGTCAGGGGAGCCAGATCTGCCTTCGTAACTGGGGGACACAGCATAAACACAGCGCCAGCTGTCCGGCCCGGCCCTCAGAGAGTAGAGTGCGTCCCCGCTCGCCTGCAGTTGCTCCAGTACCTTTGCAGTGTTAGCACAGTTCCTTTCAACGCACAGAGCAGCTAGCGGGACCACCCAGCTCAGTGCTCCGCCCCCGAAAGTGGGGGATGAACAGACGAGGCGCGGGGGTTTTAGGTCTAGGTTAGGGGGTTTTCCGGTGCAAGCCGCGAACCTCAGTCTGTGGGGAGCCTAGAACGGACTAAAGGACTTCGGGGCGCGCTCGCGCGCGGGGCTTTCGAGCCCTTGACCGCATGCAAGCAAGAGAGAGAGAGAGAGAGACATGTCTTGCTCTGAGTGAAGGGAAGTGAAGTAAAGCGAAGTGAGAGAAGAAGTCGGAGATGGTGATTGTTGGAGAGCAGAAAAACTGCTGCACACAATGGACGGGCGGGAGGCCGTAGGGTCGCTTGACGACCCCTAGAACGGAAAGAAAGACAGAGACTTTGTTGCATGGTTCGGATGGCGCTCGACTCGAACCCAAACCCCAAGCAAAGAGAAGCACAGTTTTTTGCATGTGCAAATGCCTGGTCGATCCTCATCGCATATGCAGCATGTGCATTTCTAACTATGTGTGGGGATGTCCATACATTACGCAGCGGTCCTCAAAATATGGGCCTTACTATTTAAGGCACTACACTGGCGTCCCTCAGCTTCTCAAAGTTGTTGAAAGCATCACTATGGGTACGCTGCAAGAGCGTTTTCGGAGGACCTCTCGCAGCTCTTCGCTCGGGAGCGCAGATGGCGCTGAAGGAGTGAGGGGCTGTCGACTGTCAAATGGGGAGGAGCAACCTTTTTGTAGTTTCATGAGTTCATGGGGCTTCGCAGAATGAAGGACCTTGAAATGGATCCCCATGGAATATAAGCCCGAATAAAAGCCCTAAGCAGTGGGCCGTCTTGTTGTTACTAATGCTGCGGGTGCTGTTATCGCCCCATGTTCCTAGTGTCACTGTTGCTCTCTTATTACTTTTCTGGCCACCCTGACTGCTGCGGCTGATACTGTATTGGTTACGACTACGACGGCTATAGCTGTTACTCCTATTCCCGTGACTTCAAGCATCATCTCCTCCAGCTCCTGCTAGTACTAGTGCTCTAGGAGGGAAGGCACCGCGGGTGTTCCGCAGGAGGGCGTCTACGGGCTGCCTGCCGGCGCCATCCCGACCTGGCGCTGCAGCGCTTGCCCGGCCTCGGCCTCAGCTGCAGCCGGCAGCTAAGCAACCGCAATCTCGAAGTGCAAAGCCTGCAAAGCATTGCAAAGCCTTTGGAGGTCTCCAAGAAGAGCCTGCAAGGAGCTTCAGACGGCATCAGTCCCGAGAGTTAAAGCTGAGAACGTGCTTCCAGGAGTTGGTGGGCCACTGGAGAGGACCTTACAACTGCACAAAGACTGGGCCAGCAGCTCATGCCTGGATCGAAGCCTGGATGTGGCTCTTCTGCATGTTTCCACCTGCCAGGTGCGCTGCGTGGCAGTGAATGAAGCTGGTACGTTGCTGGCAAGCGCATCGAACGACCTCTCAGTCAAAGTCTGGGACCTGACCCAGGATTGCCGGATGCTACTGGAGCTACTGGGACATGAGACTGCAGTTCTCACTGTGGACCTTAAAGGTGACCTCGCAGTCTCCGGAGACAAGGACGAAGTGATTCTCTGGAGCTTGGCAGATGGCAGCATTCTCAAACGCCGGCCTGGGTTCGCAGGGAACTTGAGCGTCGTTCAGTTTTTGAGCGAGGGGCACGTGGCAGTGGCAACCGGGACCGATGTTGAGGTAGTGGGAGCCAGTACGCTGCAGGGCAAGCCGACCTGCAACCATGAGGCCAGGGTGGCGGCTATCCACTCCAGCGCAGTCCCAGGCGGTTCAGCCACAGAGCTGCTCCTCGCCTGTGGCTGCGATGACAAGCATGCAGCACTGTGGAAGCTGAGCATGCAAGATGCCAAGCGCAAGAAACCTACAGCCCCAGATTTCACGGCACAGCAGATCACCAGGTTTTTGGTGGGAGATCAGGACGTCCGGGCTGTGAGTTTGAGCAGTGCGGGGAATCTCCTGGCCTGTGGGAATGATGACGGGGTCTTGCGAATTTGGAGCATCAGCGCAGGGAAGGCCGGTCTTTCCTGCAGCATGCTGTGTTCTGCACCAGACATGCACACTGACTGGATACATTCTGTGAGCATGGCTCATGACGGCTCCTGTGTGGCATGTGGTTCCGACGACAACTCCATTTCCCTCTTCGACGTGTCAAAGCAGCGCATGGCCGGACAAGTCAGGATCTTTTCTGGTGCATTTTCTGTGGTACTGTCGCCGGACATGAAGTCACTGTACTCTGCAAGTGGTGACATCCGTTTATGGAGCGTTCCCAAAATCAGGCAAACTCACCAATTGAATGCTGCAGGTACTGGCAAGCATTCCTATGCTGTCACCGGCATTGCGGTGTCTCTTGATGGATGCCAAGCCGTTTCTGTGTCTTCAGACTTGACAGATGGCAAGACAAACGGCGGCCTTCAGATTGCTCTTTGGGATTGTCCAACATGCTCCCAGACCGGATTCTTCAAAGTGACCGGTTCCATGGATGACGATGACAGGCCCCTGTGCGCATCCATGAGCCCGGATGCTACAATGGCTGCCATCGGATGTGACACGGGCAAGCTTTGGGTCGTGAACTTGACGGAGCCCTTCGCGGCCGTTTGGGTGCAGCCGGAGGCCCATACTGAGCGCATCTACTGCTGCGAATGGCTGGAGCTGGATTGTTTGGCAACTGGCAGTGAAGATGGGAGCGTTGCTTGCTGGTCAGTTAAGGACAAGGTCTGCACTGCGACTGCTAGGCCCTATGATGCGGGCATCCGTTGTTTTGCGTGGACCCAAGATCGGCAAAGGGTCATGTGTGGCTGCGACTACCAGGCACCGCGACTGGTGTCGGTTGGAGAGAAAGGATCAGATGGCCACATTCTAGCAGAATTCAAAGACGTCGTCCGACAGGAGCTGACTGTCATAACCCCTTGTAGCATCTCGCTTAGCTCGGACGACCGGCGTGCGGTGACCACGAGTTGGGACAAGGCCCAAGGGTCCACCTATAGCTTGGAAATGCTTGGAATCACCGTCTCTCTCTCTCTACCCTTCCCTCCGAGTTCCCTCCTCTCTTTTCGTCTTGTGGTTGTCTGGATTTGGTAGGCGCTGCGTGTGTGGGAGCTGGACTCTGGGCAGCTCCTGCTGGCCGTGACACAGGCAGGGTGCCACTGCGGAACTCGTCGTGTCCATGCAGTGTTCTCAGGCAAATGTCGAGCTATGTCGAAAGGGTAGAATGCCGTGCGTGGTGAGGAATGTTGAGTGCTGAACTCTATGTGAGCGACGCTTTGCTGACGATGGATTTGGGGTAGAATCGCAAACAACACTCTGGACTTTGGGCATCGTGATGCGCGCTGCCCACCTTATTGGTGATGTGCCCGGAATCATGCTGTGACAGGTTTCCGACTGGGTGGTGAAGGGTTTCGGAGCCACGCTGGCAGGCACAACCAGGGCACCTACAGTATTTCCGTGGACTTGTTACCAAAGCCCAAGAAGGTGACATTGCCGGCCTCTGTGTGTCGACCTCAGACCCTCTGGGGACCCTCTGTATTAGATCTCGACTCTTCGCCAGCTCCCTGATTTGGACGTGCGACCGCTCTCTTATTGAAATGCCTCGCTTCCCCAAGTTGAGGTTTCCTATTCCTGGGACCGGCAGCTGCAGCTCTGGGATTTCACGCATGTGCTCGGTGCTGCTGGCATGGACAGCGCACTCTACGCTTGAGATGCACAGATGCGGCCTGGGGCCACCCACCCTTCCCGTGCCAGGCAAGGCGAAAGAGCAAAGGGAGCCAGCGGTCGTGTCGTCGCAGGAGTCCTTCGAGAGGCTTTGCACTTGTCAGTGTGCTGGCCCTACATCCTGGAAGACTCTCTGGACTCCAGGGTCTAGCGGCCCTGCGTTCGGCAGCCTCGCGAGGCGATGCCTCCCTGGTCCACATGGCTTGTGCGCCGCGCTGGCGAGAGGGTGTCAGGCCAGGCCACGCAGAGCCGCGCAGAGTCTTGTCGAAAGCAGCTCTGTGAAGGCGGAGCCTGGTGTTTGCAGACGAGGACGGCGGAGTCCACTTCTTTGAGGTTCCAGACTCGAGTCTCTTTGCACCGCGTTGATTGAGGGCAGCAAAGCTTACTAAGGTGGAAATACGACAGGCGCCTGTGCAAGATGCGCAAGGTGCCTGATGATCGGTTAATGCTTCTGTGCGTATGCACATGCCCATTGCTAACGATGTGGGAGGGGATGCATGTCAAAGACATACATCTCTTTCTGCCAGCCTCCGCGATGCTGACTCTAGCATCAGCAATCGCGGCTTGCTTGCTGAAGCATTGATTTTCCAAGAAAGTTTCATGAGGCGGGGGCGCTCCCTGCAGACATGTACGGTACGACCGTCTCTCGTTGTCCACAACACTTGGTTTCCTTTGCTTAACTACTTCACCAGCCCTTTGCAATTTGCCCGACGGCCCTGGACGCTCAAGCATCATCCGAGTATCAGAACATGGTGGCAGTGTGTGCCAAGAAGACGACCTGAACACAATGTAGCTTTTTCAATGACGACTGTTTAGCTTAACAGCTTCCCCTGTGCTCTCGACCGCGTGGCGCGAGCTTGTCATACTTGGTTATCGTCATGCGGATCGCAAAAGCCATGGCAGCTTCGTACGAGAGCCATGTGCTGCAACCTCGGCCACTTCCCAGCTGGCTGGGTGTTGCAGAGACACAGAGAAGTACTGCGTGAGGCTCCAGGTGCTGTCTCCGGTTCGACAGTGGCCAGGCTGCCTACGAACCAGGACGGAAGGCGCAACTTCTTGAGCGTTTCAATAGGTTGCTGTGCGTATCAACTTTTGCATGCTGCTGCTGCTGCTGCAAGGAATTTCAAGACTGCCACTCTCTCTCTCTCTCTCTGTCTCTCTCCCCGCTGACGTTCGGAGGTCCGCGATGTTGCTGTCCATCTCCACACGCCGGATGCCTAAAAGCCTGGAAGCTCCTACATCTGTGATAGAGCTTTGTAGGGAACACTGTAGCAGATCTCGCTTGCTTTCTCATCAAGGCCAGAGGGCTTAGCTGGAGGCGAGCAGAGGGCAAAGGCCCGGCAGCTCTGAGAATTTCACGAAAGCCTCGGGGTACAGAAACAGAGGGACCGTCACATTGAGCGAGCCCGTCTACCTACAAAGCCCCAGAGTCTCTCATCCTTTCGCAAAGCGACAGGCGCCCCCTCAACACATCTCTCAACGTGGTGCAGCCTTCATGGATTCATCGGGCTCTGCCCACATCTGCGCACACCATGTTGCGGGCCCCGTGCAGGATCACGCAACGACTGTAGGATCGCAATCGCATAAGACGACCACAGGCCTGCAAGGCCTTAAACTTAAACCTTGCATAGTGCCACTGCCTCATCAAAGATTTGATTGGTCTTCTTCCGAAGAGTCTCAGGAAGGACAATCAGATCAATCAGCTGTATTTGAAGTCAGCGAGCGTCGCGGAATGTACCATCAGTTTCAAGATACAAATTGCGATGATGTGAATGCCAGGCATCCGTCGCGGAGAGGCCGCATGGAAGTCCTTTGCAGCAGGACCTGCAGTGAATGAGCTGGGCCGGGTGTAGCTACGGCCCAAGTGGCTCTGCTATGCGGCTTCCCAGGAGACATCCCTTACCAAGATGACAACATCAAGAGAAAACTCGTGGACAGTGATGCTGGATCTCGTCGAGGCTACACCCATCTCATGAGACGACTCTGCCCCTCGGGCATCCCAGCGCTTCTGCCGAAGGCCCAGAAGTGCTCCTCGTATTCCGGGGAACAGGCCTCTCGGCGCCTGAGACTTCTCTCCAGCCTTTTCAGCCGTGTCTTCTTCTGTAGGACAAGAAACCCTACGGCATGGTACAGGTCTTAGTTCCCCTCTTTGTGGCATGCCGTGCAGTACAGCTCAGACACTGAGATAGCTTTTGGATCCGGTGACATTAAAGCACTGGAGGCCATGACCGCATGTGCTCGGCACGCACTCTGGCCTTTGGTTGCAGCCTTGTGCTGGCGATGGTTCCTTTTGCTTCGTTTGTTTCAAAATTTATGCAGCTGCCCAGGCTGCAAATGTCCTGGCAGAAGTACAGGCACTGGGCACCGTAAACTGCCAAAGTCTAACCCTGAATGCACATGCAAAGAATTGCAAAGACAATCCTGAGCAGGTTGCTTCCATGCGGCTGGACGTGGTGCTGTTCGGCGCATCAGTGGACGCTTACAAACAGGCTTAATGTTCTCCTTGCAATTTCGTAAATGTTGCCGGGAGTGTGACACGCTTGGAGGCCAGTATGTGGTGCTCCGCCGTGCAGGACCAGCAATGTGAATCTCATGTGTGGTATCTCTGAACTGCTGGCAGCCGCAGGTGCTGCAAAGTTCGTCCGCACAAGGGCTTCGGCATAGCATCATCTCCCACAACGCATCGGGCTTAAATTCGAACCCCATCGTAGCCTGGCACAGACTGGAATCAGTGTGCATGTGTGGAGGCCTTGCTCAGTTCGCTTGGACGCTCTGCTCTGTGGCAGTCAGGCATGGCGCTGCAGGCCTAGCTCAGCGCAGCTGATAGCGGTGAGACACGAGCATCGTCCGTTTTCATGGTTTTAACCTTATTGCGATCATTACTACTTTTACTGGTATTACGATTATGACATATTATGACCATTATTATTATTGCTATTCATATTACAATTACTATTATTCCTTGAGGCCAGCATGGCCTGCTCGAGATGCCCGACCTGCGATGTCGCAAGGCTCTCAGAATTTTCTGGCAGCCTTTATAATAGGGGTTGTACCATTTAGGGTACCATATTGGGGTCCCCTACTTTCGGAAACTCCCATATGGGTTATAAGTATAGTTACCCTATACTTATAACCCTTCAGGTGACGTTCAACACGTTGATCACCTCCTACCTGAACGGCAGCGCAGCGGCAATAACGAAAAGGACATGCATGGAATACGCAGATTTGATATACATGTATACTTATACATATCATACGGATGTATGTATATGTGCATATAGATATAACATATAATGCAAAGTCTAAGATGTCTACATGTATATGTGTGTATATGTGCCGGTGTAGTAAGTTGAGTGTGCTTCCAGGTAAAGCATAGTGCAGAAATGTTCAGGCATGCAAGGTCACCGTGCGCTCGGTGTCCTGCCGTTGATGAAGGAGACCCCTGCTGTCAGGCTGCCAGGCACGGGCGAGGGCTCGCAGCCGAAGCCAAGCAGTGACAAGAAATGATGTGATGAGCTCAAAACTTGCAGGAGCAGCTGGTTCAGCCCGACCAGGCGACGGCCCTGGACGTTCATACGACGTACAGCGTACTAGATACGGCGAAATGCCGTGCCGAAGCGGCTGAAGGTGACGTTCTCCAGCACAATCCTGGCGTGCAAGACCGCACCCCAGCGTCCCAGAAAGCCGAGGAAGCGCAAAAGGTTCGATGCCTGGACGGACTGCTAGGATGGTTTCGGCTTGGCAGCTGGCGCTGGCCTGCGTGCAGGCAAGGGCGACTACGCGCGGCCCCTTCCTGCTAGTGTAGTTCAGTCTAGTATAGTACTGTAGTACAGTATAGTGTAAAATAAGTATCATAGTAGAGTATGGTATGGTATAGTATGGCATGTGTCCTGCGTTTGGGTGTGGCATGGCCTCAGGAACTGGGCCCCGGAACGGGAGATGAATGCCAGCGCATGGACTCCAGGGTTCTCGGTGCAAATCTGAGCTCTGTGGAGAAGTCTGTGCCTTTTGAGCTTCGTGGTTTGTTTCGTTCCACTTGTCTTCTGGTCTTCTGGTTCAGGTGCAGCCATGGCTGCTTGCGCCAAGGCCATGCAGTGGGAACGGGCCTTGGAGCTGTCTCGGGCTCGGTCGCTCGGTCTGCTCCCGCCCCGAAATGCCCAAAGAGCTCTGCCTCGCTTCGTTGAGGCTCAATGCGGTGGATGCTAAGAGCGGAGCTCTGGACCTGGTGGGCGGCTCGCTTTGCTCCCACGTTGCAGCAGCCTGTGGCCTGTGGATGGCACTTTGCGAGGTTCTCTGCAACACGGGGATGGCGGCATGCGCATCGGGGAGGTCGTGGAAAAGAGCACTTGACCTGCTTCAGAGGCCCATGAGCAGTCCCCAGCCCTTCCGCGTTCATGTGATGTCATGTGGCTAGGCTGGCAGGAGGCGGCTTTCGATCGGATGTGGCTCCCTTGTCTTCATCTCCAGCTCAATCAGCTCAGACCACGACACCACGACATGAGAAATGAGGTTGTCTCGCTCAACACGTGCATGACCGCCTGTGAGAGAGCGGACCACTGGCAGGCAGGGAGGGGAGTCGCAGGCACAAACTCCGAGACGAAGCCTCGACAGCTTTCCTTTGTGCCTGGTAGGGTGCCTGCGAACTCCTATCCGCAGCTCGTCGCCAGGGCCAGAGATTCATGAGTGTTCATCACATGCCAGGAACCATGGCGAAGCAAAGCCTTTGCACATTTCCAAAGCGCGCGTAGACGCACTAGCTATCGGCGACGGCAAGTATGCCAGTGAGGCCATGCACAGCGCCTCGATTCCATCACCTTTGCAGCTGGCACCGCTGCTTGTGGTGCCGCAGTCATGGTTGTGGTCGGAATGTTGCATGGTTTCATGCTATAGAGAGCGAGAACTTCTGCACATTTCTGCACGACCAGGTGCCGGCGCAGGATCCGCGCGTTGGGCGTTGGCAATCAGCATGATGGCAAGTTGCCAAGAGCAAGGCCAACTCGGAAGTCTTCCCCCGCTTCATGTACATTCCAGTACAGTGGCTTTAGGGCAGTGCCTTCTTTTCTGGCTTCGGGCTTAGCAGTTTAGCAGTTTCGGAGGTCGTCGGTTGCATGTGGAGGCGTGCAAGTGACCGCGGAGACCTTTGGGACAGTCTTGGCTGCGCTCTCCGGCCTCAGCATCGTTGGGGCAAGAGAGGCCTTTTCCTGAGCCGCAAGCACACGCACACACACACACACACACATACACACACCGACGTGCATGAGCAGTCAGCAGAGTTGTCAGATTCTGCGGATCATTCCCAACTAGCCTGAACTTGAGAGCAGAGAGATCTCGTCGAGAGAACGTTCACTTTGTCAACAAAGACTCGGTTGGCAAAATGGTGGGATGCTGATTGAAGGACCACAATCGCTGGGTCCGGGCACTGAAGCTGCAATTTGCCGTCTCCCTGGCAATTCTGCAACGGTGGTCTTATCGGCTATCAGCAGAAAGGGGCTCTGACATTGGATCCAAGGAGGCTGCGTGCGGCAAGACGCAGCCTCAGAACTTCCGATGCTGGTTGCTGCTTTGCTTTGGGAGGAGCCTTAGAGTGGTTCGGCTCGGGAGGCAGGACGACGCAACGACCTGGAAGATATCGCTGCAACTATGCCGAGATGCTGCTCTTGCTGGTGCTGTCGGCATGCATTGCCAGGTGCCATGCACTGCACCTGTAATAGTACCTCTTGAACGAGGGCACGGCACGCAGTGACGCTCATGCACCTTCCAAGCACAGGCACTGGATTTACTGACAATGCTGGGAGAGGCTGGATTCTGGATGCCTGGCCCCAATCTCTGGCCGCGCTTCCCTTGCCTGGGAGTGTCAGGATGCCGATGCGGCCGCATTTTGCACAGTCCCTTGCTCAGTTTGGCTGTTTTTGCGAGGAGCAAGGGTAAGTCGGACTCTGGAGGTCCTCGACACCCTGGAGCTGGCTGAAGACTTTCACGGTCGGAACTCGCGGGGTCCCATGAGCTGCAACCACCAGCACTGCAGCACTGCAGGTACCGCTGTGCTGTTGACCCGATCCTGCTGTGCACTTCTCGGCTTCTGCTTGCTGAGACAAGGGGTTGGCCCAGTTGCTTTCTTGAGGTCATGGTGTTCAACTTCTTCGGCGAATGTTACACTCGCAGGTTTGGATGCTGAGGGATCTGGGTGGGTTCTTTCGGATCTACCGCAAACAACTCCGTGGAAACAGGTTTCTTCAAACACCCAATGCGCTCAAGCAGCCACATACTCAGCACTGGCAGGTGCCTTCCTGTTGGCATGCAGTGCAAGATCAGGTCATCACGATGGACTCCCTCATGTTTCAGCATAGACTGCCTTCTGCGATGAAGGCAGCATTGCAGTGCATTGAGCCCATTCCTACTTGTAGCGCATGTTATGTCCAAGGGGCAGCAGCTGGGGTGGGAAGAGTGTTGATCGGCGGGGTAGCGCGGGGTAGCGTGCCAGCCACTCCCACCCGTCCCGGGGGGCGACGTTGCCGCTGCAATCGCACCGTGTCGTCGCCAAGCTGCTCCCATTCTGTAACTTCATTCCTATCCCTAAACCCTAAACCCTAAACCCTACATCCTTTGCCGTGTGATTGATGCAATTGTTCTTGGCCGTGGCCTCGAGCGGCACTGGCCAATGTCGTGGCCCTGGTGCAATGTCATTATGGTAGGATGCGTTCTGCTGCCCACGAGTTGCACAACCTGAAAGCTGCTGAGCAGCCACGTGATGTAGTAATATATACATATATATATGCTTATATATATACGCTTGTATATAGTTATACATAATGTAATATGTTAGATATAATAAACAATACAAAAAATGCAATATCTGCTTATTAAACATATTTATATATACATATATAGTCATATGTATGTATGTATGTATATATATATATATATATGTATGCTACCCCCCCTCATGTACCCAGCTTTGCGCTTGAATTGTGCGGGATCGTCGTCGTGGCAATACAAACCTTTCCAATCTCCACTGTTCTTGGTTGTATGCAAAGTACACGAAAGTACTACTATTTTCTTCTATGCCAGCACCAAGTGTAGTTTCACTGTTACATTTACCAATGATGCTCTTCCTTACACCAGTGTCTTTACTACTATGGTTATACCCACCGTTCTGATTGCTTCAGTAATACCAACCCAGATAACACTCTTTATTTCCACCTGTCTTACTATGTCTGAATAAAAACTTTCCTAGGTACGCAACCCAGCTAACACTCTTTATTTCCCCCTGTATTGGTATGTCTGAAAAACAAACTTTCCTAGCTACGCTAGTCCCGTGGCTACTGTTCACCCTGCTTCATACTAGCCCGACCTGTAAAAGTGCATGTTAAGCTATATCGTAATTGGTACTGACTAGATAAATTTGTTGTTGTCGCTGTCTTGTATTGATATGAACTGTAAGGTTTACATGTTTGTTCTGAGCTTGGTAATCTTTGGCCTATGCATCATCTGAATCATCCTATCGAGCTAGAGCTTGTGTGTTCTTACAGAGTCGTTTACATGTTTCGCACCTAATGCGTGATGACCAATAAAGACTCCTTATGTCAGAGTTTTGCGGTGACTGTACTGGGTAGTGCTCTTTACTGTAAGCACCAGTTAAAGACGTACAAACGTGAAGGTGCACCACCTAGAGTACACCCCATCCAAGCATGAAGCAACACACGTTATACATGTACCTTTAGAAAAGTGTAAACGATGCCAATACATTTTCCATATAACACTAAATTTCCCTGAGTCAAGGCTTCAGTCCTAGACAAGAGTAGACGATACGTCTAGTTCCGTACACGGTAACGGACGAAGACGATAAATTAAGTGGTCTTCTCACAGTACCGTCTTCAGGCAGAGATTCATGCCTAGTCTTATACAGCATGAAAGGGTTGATTTCATGAAGATGTTCACGAAACATGCAGCAACATATGTAATCGCATCGCAAGAGCACATATGTCATATGTGTGCCCAACAAATGGATCCGGCCAATCCGTCAAACTATAAAACTAGTGGTTAGGCCGACTAAAGTTCATCACCATTTTTGTACATGTCAAAGGCGTATTAACAGTTGTATCAATATGGACTTCAGTTTTCCTAGTTGTACGACGCCGCTGGAATGGAATTGCTGTGCTAGTCTACATGTCCAAACAGTAAAACAGAAATGACGGGATGAATCACGGCAATCACAGCTGTATGGTAACGTAAATGACTGGCATACTTCACAAAAGACCAGACGTTGCATATAACCAACATGACAATAGAAGGCGAAGGGGAGCCGGGAAATAAGTCAGGAACATAAGATGTTCATTTTGGTGTTGACGGTAGGATAACTGCAATGACGATGAAGTTGATTGAACAGATTACTGCACAATGGGCTAGATCATGGAGGATTACGTTAACGTGTAAATGATAAAAACGATACTCAGAATCGTGCTGGACTTACATCTCCTGAAGCAACAAACACAGTATTGACTGCATAATGACTGGCATACTTCATGACAAACCAGATGTTATAACTACCATGACAATACACACGCCGAGTAAGAAGGAGGGAAACCGAATCATTTCCGAATCATTTTCATTCGGGCCCGGCGCTGGAGCCAAGATCCAAGATTGCCCAGAGGTCTTGCGCGGGCAATCTTGGATCCGACCCTTCATCCGAATCATCCGAATCATTTCCGAATCATTTTGATTCGGGCGCGGGCCCGGATCCAAGATCCAAGATTGCCCAGGGGTCTTGCCAAGGAATCTTGGATCCAATGGGTGAGTGTCGGATCCAAGATGCCCAGGCAAGACCCCTGGGCAATCTTGAATCTTGGATCTTGGATCCAGCGCCGGGACCGAATCAAACTGATTCGGAAATGATTCGGATGATTCGGATGAAGGGTCGGATCCAAGATTCCTTGGCAAAACCCCTGGGCAATCTTGAATCTTGAATCTTGGATCCGGGCCCGGGCCCGAATCAAAATGATTCGGAAATGATTCGGATGAGGGTCGGATCCAAGATTGCCCGCGCAAGACCTCTGGGCAATCTTGGATCTTGGCTCCAGTGCCGGGACCGAATCAAAATGATTCGGAAATGATTCGGATGATTCGGGGCTATTTTGGAGGGAACCCGCCAATGACATGAAATAATAAAGCCTGAGATTTAGGAGAAAGGCTTGGTTGGGGACGAAGGGGATCCCGCGGACCCACACCTTCCGAAAACTGGGATTTAGAGGAAAGGCGTGGGTACATGGGGGGGGGGTACCATATATATGTCCCATACACTTCAGCGTGTGAGGCAGGTTTGCTGCTCTTATCTTACCTTCCTTGCCTCGTCTCTCCGCTTCGGGCCAGGGCGCTGTGGGAGCTCTTCTCCCTAAGGTTTTTTCGGATAAAGTAGAGTAATCTATCCTAGGTACTAGTAGAATATGTCAAGTCTGACACTACCTACAGCTGCAGGTGTGCACACATATGAGAAAAGAAGAAACAGAGCCTCTGTGTGTGTGTGTGTGCGGGTGTGTGGGTGGCTGGAATAAAACAAGCAAGAAGCGGTGGGGGGAATGCCCAATGCCAAAAACCACATGGGAAGAAGTTTTGTAGAAGCTTGTACCTGGACCTTGCAGATTTAGCTTGTAAGATCATCAGCCCGTAAGCGAGTTGGAAGTCAGTGATTCAAGAGAGAGGAATGTTTGCATAGATGCCTGGTATTGCCATGTACTCAGGATGATGCTCAGGTGGTATTCGCCGAAAGCTCGCGGAGCAGGGCTTGACTTAAGTCGAATTCAGCAGAGAGGAACCAGCATAGTGTTGATAGTATCAATTTAGGGGTGGATTCTCTAGTTTGTGGAGTGGGGAAGGGGGGCTGAGTTAAGGTAAGGTTTGTGGAGGGGGGGCTGAATTGATATATCAACAGCCGACAAATGGCCGAGTATTGTAGTAAGCCAGTAAAGCTGCCTTCTCCACGAAAGCTTGGCTGGTGCTACGACTGCGACTGCACGTGCTGCGACTACAATAACAACTACTACTACTACGACGACTACTACTACTACTACTACAACCACAACCACTACTGCTACGACTGCTGTGCTTCCTTGATAGAAGCCTGCTGAGCTTTCGTTCTCCGTGCCTCCAGCTCTCAAGTTGCAATGTTGCTTCGCAGAATTTCATGGTAATTCTGTTCCATATTGAACACATCGGCTGTCCTCGCAGATCCTGCCTGTGTGGGTAGGCAAGTCGGTAGGTCGGTCTGTCAATTGTGTGCACGTGCCTGGTTATTATGCTGCATGTATGCATGTGTATATATACACACATATATATATATATGTATATAAGTTACACATACACATGTGTGTATATGTACATTTTTATATGTGCGTATATATGTATAAATATATATATATATATATATATATATATGCATATAAGCTTATACGTTTATATATGTACAGAGGGGTGGGTACCGGTCGCTCTACATGCAGAATCATGCATATATACAAGTATATGTATATATATATATATATATACATACATATGTCTTTTTACGAGTATTAACATTGCGTTATTCTTGTTCTTACTCTTGTAGTTATTCGTATTCTGATTCTGGTTCTGATTCGCTTCTCATTTTTAATATTAGTCTTATTCTTCTGAGTGTTTATATTTACATAGAATCGTTTGCACGCGCATATATAGTTGTGTCTACATATATATATATACACACACACACACATGAGTTGCCTCATTGCCTCCAGGCTGCCTTTCAAAAGGCCGTCGCCGCTCCGGCTTTGGCGAGGCTTGCCAGTTCCCCAACTGAGAATCTAGTTAGTTCCGGAAAGATGCAGGTACTGAAGGTGAAGGCTTGGCAGTGGTTTCCACTGTTTTATCCCTCCAACCATTCAAACAGATGTCTCCTCCATACCCAAGACAGCAGTTGCCATAAACGTGTTTGAAAGGCTCTTGCAGAAGTGGAAGGGGCAGCGAGAGCTCATGTTCACGAGACCGCGTTGATGGTCGGGTAGATCGCGTCTCGTTCGAACTTGAGTGGTACACTTTGGCTTTCAAGTTCAGGCTGTCTCCGCATGCAGGCTGATTCGACTGCTTCACACTCCTTTGGTGCCTGAACCTCAGTCCTGCGCTGCACACCCGGAGACCCGAAAACATGCGCTTCTTCGAGAGGTCTCGAAACGAGCAGCTGGAGGCGCTGCCTATGTTGGGGCACGCTGCAACGATGCAGGTGATGGACAGTAAAAGCAGGCTGTGGTCAGCACGCAGCGTCGCTGTCTGCTAGGCCTTGAGCCAAAGTTGCCTTGGCTTGCAGGCACGGTTTCGTGCAAGTCACGAGAAGTGCTGGCCGTGCTTCATGAGTGACATTGCGCGACCATGTAGGCCGGAGCAATGTCAAGCTGGAGGCTCTTGGGTAGGCGATGTCTGTGTGCCGTGACCTGAAGATCCGAAGTGGCGGTGCGTTATGAGATTTTCTCGCAGCGGACCCAGGGCTGGAGACTCCAGCTGCCCTCGTACGAGGCGGTGGCGACGGCTCGAAGCCCCGGAACACTGCGCTGCATTGCACTGCACTGGTCCGGCTGCCGAGGCCCTGGCCCCATGTCTTGCCTACAGCATTCGTCCCGCAAAGCACGCATGCTCTGCCGGACGCGTGGTTGGCTACAGAGCAGAGGAAAATGCAGGACGCGCCCCTTTCTTGTCTCGACTTGAGATGTCGTACATGGCACTTGTTCATTGGGTGATGTGCCGCGCCATGAGCAACCGTGCTTTCGTCAGGATCTGATGGGCCTCTAGCAGCTGTCTGGGTGCAGCACGACCGTTCTCAGCACGGAGAGCGCCAGGTGCTTTGCATGTCGTGACATATCCGTCTACGAAAGTACCTGCTACAGTCTGTTGGTCACGGGCTTGGCAGGGAGCAGTGTGTCGGTTGATTTCAATTTTCTGATCGGAGCTCCTTTGCGATGTGGGAAAGCCAGATTCCGTTGCGAGGGGTCTTGCCGCCCACATCCACAAGAAACTCCGAACTGTAGAGGCCGCAGTAGGCAAACCTCAAAACAGATAGCGTCTCTCCAATCACACAATCGTCAGTCAAGTCTGATTTCAACCTGATTCTGTTGCCTCAATTTTCTGGTCGGTGTGCAGTGTGTGTGCGTGTCCTGGCATGTTGGTCAAACTGAGTAGTGATACCTCCCCATGCGGTGGGCCCCAGTGGCCCCCACTTGCAGGCCCTTCTGATGGTCGTCGCAGCGACTGCCGGTAGCAGTCAGTCCTGAAATAAAAAAGGGTTTGCAAGGTGGCCATTCAAGCGTGAAGTTCCTGCAGCTTGCCAACCTTGCCGATGGCCTTTCCTTGTTTGCTGCTGCTGCTGCTCCATGCACGTTGCTCCAGCTGCCCCCTTCCTGCTTCCGGCATGGCAGCCATCCTTGCGACTCGGGCTGGATGGTCCAAGGGTTGTCAACCTCGTGATCTTGGAGACCGCCGCTGAGCCCTTCCGTCTGCATTGGGAACTTGCGGATTGGGGTTACAGTTACAGACTGACTCCAACTTCGACGATGGGAGCATGATTCAGCGATTCAGTGGAACAGCCAGCAAACTGAATTGCAAGACTATCAAGACCTGACCTTCGTGAATTGTTTGCACCTTTCGACGCTTTTGGCACGTGTCGGGTCGAGGGGCTGCAGGATCTGAAAAGCTCCTCGTGCTTTCCTCGAGGCTAAAAGGCTTCGAACAATGTCTGAACGTTGGTTATTGCCTGATGCGTCGACTGTAGATGTGCCAGTCCACTGATAGAAAACCCACAGACGGCGGTACATTGAAGCGGGTAGGCTGGGATGTCCCTTGTCTGACAGGTAACACAAGTCTACTCTCCTCAAGATATCGGCGTGCCGGAACTCTGTGCGATTCAAGCCATGAAGGCAATTCATTCTTTGGGCTGGCAGCCTGACATGGTGTCTTATCGACCTTGTGGTGGGCATATCCAAGGGATCATCCATCCGTGCTGGCCGAGGGCATGTGCGAATACCGCGCGTGCGATACTCGAGCGAATGGCAATGCGGGGGACCACGGAGCAGGGGCCAGCAGGCATTTACGAGGTGGGTGACATCGTCGTGCTGAGGGAGGGAGTGCCCTAGCGCGAGAAGTCGAGACGCGGGATGAGGCGATGACGGAGCCACGTGGAGCCGGCCGATGCAATCAAGCTGCTTCATGCTATGCAACGATCAGCGGCGGAGACACCAATACGCGATGCCAGTGAGAGCCGCAAGGCCATGGCTGGGGCGATTTCGCTGGCAGATCACGTCACTGTGCTGAGGTCGCAGGTGCAGGGCAGGTGCACAGCAGGCGCACCTGGCCCAGGTGCGCCTCATGCGCCTGCACACTCGCGTGACATGAGTTTACCAGGGGCTATTCGTTTGTGGGGCTCCCATGTTCTCCACAAGCATCCTTACGGAACCACTCCGTTGGTACTGGACCGCTTCTCACCAAAAGCCACATTTTGCCGGGGTCTGCCCGTTTCAATTTCGGAATCGTATCAGAGTGTTGAGAGTTGATCGAGGGAGTTCTGCCAGGTGAGACAGTACTGTAGCTAGGCCTAGCACCTAGTTCTCGAACGGGGACGACCGACAACAACAGATAGGGCAAACATCACGCTTCGAGGGACCGAAGAAGAAGCAAGCCATCTTCTGGAAGCAGTGCTTGGTTTTGGCTGTGGTTGTTTCGATGGGCATTTGCCTTGCGCAGTCGCGTGGTCGCGGCAATGAAAGGACATGACTCAGAAGACTTCAGAAACAGCAACCGCAGCAGCCGCACAACCGCCAAAAAGGCAGCAAACACATCCAAGTCAATCTGATGTCCTTCACACTTCAGCATCCAAGAAGGCGTTCGTGAATACAATCTCCAAAAGACCTCTCAGTCTGCAAATGTCGTAAACGACTAAGAGAGTTGCTATCGCCTGTGCCGTTTAGCATGGGCTGATGGCGTGGGATGGAACCCACCGACGAAGAGATGCGGCGGATACAAGAGCAGTTACCTGGCATTGTCAAGTGTAGGCAGACTCAGCGGTACCCATTATATATTATATTATCATATGTTATAGTATGTGTATATATATATGTATATGTATATATAGATATACATACACGTATCACCTATAGCTATATAGTTATATTTGTAATATCTCATCAAGAGCACACCTTCAAGGAGGTACTGCTGCGTTTGATGCTTTTACAGACACCTGCTTTCCTTTTGTTGGGTAGGGCACAAGTCAGTTTAAGGAACTGTCGCAGCTGAGGTTTGCCATGCTGGATTTGAACGGTTCTGGCCCCTCGGAAGCACACGGTTGTGAATCCGTTGTGCGCCTCATGACAAACACCAGCGAGTCTTGAATCAGCTGGTGTAGTGGAGCTTTGCATGTCACTGCAGCTCATGATAAGGCAAGATCGAAAGGGAAGAATTGCAGGAGTTGCTGGTCTTCCTGGGGCTGGCAAGGGGCCCGGCCTTTCTTGCCTTTGCAACGCTTTTCCTTGCCCTGAGCACAGTAAAGACCTTGTGGTGCGAGGATCCGAGGGATGGCCAGCTGGACACGCTCTGGACCGTCTTAGACACAGACGAAGATGGGCTCATCAGCTTCCAGGAATTCTTGGACTTTGTCTTCAGCACTGGTGACGTTTCCTTCTTTACCCCTTCGGAGCTCGAGAGGGTGCGCGAGTTCTCGCAACAGCGCAAAGTCAGCCGTGCGGAACAGATCCTCAGAGCTCGAGTATGCGACATGTTGCCTCATGTTGCTAATGGTTCGGGTGCTTCCGGTCAAGGACGAGTTACGCTCATGCCATCACATTCGGATTCCAAGGACCCCGACGCCAGAGACTTCGGCCGACAGCGAGGAGTTTGAGAAAAGCTGGAAAGGGGGTGCTGCAGTATATTGGGGCTGGAGGTTCGACCTCCGCTGCATGTCCTGGAGGAGATTGCTCGACTCCAGAAGCACGTGGAAGAGTTGGAAGCAGAGGCTCGAACTCGCGAGAAGGCACATCCTCATGCACCGTCAAGATGACCTAGAAGTAGTCAACACCGCCTATGGATCCGAATGAGTACATTTGTTGTTTCGCTGATGCGAGGTCGTGGCGCAGCTGCAGACCAAGCTGCAAGCAGCTCGTGAAGAACAGCTCATGCGAAAGAGTCGACAAAACAGCAAGGACCGCGCCACGGGCAGCAAGCTTGTATACAAGTACGTACATCATACGCACCTACACGCGGACACACATATGTGCACGCATGGAATATAGTACAACATGATAGAAGTCAGTAACATACCATGCCATCCATACCATACCATAGTACACACACTACACACTACACTACACTGCACTGCAAGACAATACAGTACACTACAATACAAAGCAGCTTGTGAGAACATGAATACAGTGCTAATGCTGATACTAGCCGCATAACTTAGCCAATTCGCCTGTACACGCACGCTATCTCTACATGCCTAGCGAATGCTATAGACACCTAGCGATATATACACATACACACATACATACATACACACCTACATACATACATCAGTCTATATATATATATATGTGTGTGTGTATGTGTATATATATATATAGATATACACACGTATATGTTTAGAAGTCCAAACATGCACTGGCCTGTGGGTTGCGTTTATGCACGAGTTACACCTGCATGCGCAAAGGCCATATACAATATAAACGGTATGTAGTACATGTAGATTTGATGCGTGTCTGTATAGGTGCAAGTATGGAACGGCCGTACATATGCATACTGTACGCACAGTCGATTAGATGTACGGGGAACGATGATCTTTCCCCACCCATGCCGGAAGCATGTGGCTGCTTCGCCATGCTTTGCCAAGACCACCGTGTAATGTTGAGTTGCGAGTACCCCCACTTCGGTTGCTCTCGCGGTCAGAACAGTTTCTCCCTGCTCGGTCCCTGCCTCTACCGTCGAGGCAAAAAGATAATCACGGGATCATTATTGAGGGTTTTGGACCGAGCTCTTTAGTTTAGGGGGGATGATAATTGAGCTTCCGGACTGGAGTTTGTTTTCTTGAGGCGGTGTTCATCACAAGCAACCTAACATTAGCCCTTCTCCGAGGCCTCCAAACTAAAGCCTAAACTTTGCAGGATACCAGCGCTGCGAGCGAAACTGCCGGCCCAACTCCCGCTGCGTCGAGCGATGAGCAGCTTAGCAGTGCCTAGGAAGGCCAAACAAGGCTGAAAGGCCGAGGGTTTAACGTTCTTGAATGACATCTGCACATCCGGAATGCAGAGGATACCAAACCAGCCCCGTAGCATGCGCTGGCGTTTGACCCTGTTTGGGTATTAGGATTGTGCAGCTGAAGAAACAGCTTCATGCCACCTGGATGCAAAACAGCTAGAGAGGAATCTCTTTGTTGGGAAGCCATCTGCGCTGAGACAAGGATAAGCAGTATGCTCTGCAAAGACTCGAGAACCAGCAGGAGAAGATCGTTGAAGGCGCCATGCCACAGCCGCGGGGTCTGCAAGCGACGAGGGAACTGCAGCTGGCAGGCTACGTTGGCTTCCTTCACTCGTTGATGGAGTCATCTGCGTCGCTGACTTTGCAGAAGCCTGGCTCCATAGTGGCTGATTCGGTGTGCATGTTTCCAGAGGTCGGAGCAGCTTCAGAATTGCTGCGATCTCAAGACGGTGGAAATGCTTGGAAGAGGGGCCTACGGCTTCGTGCCTTGGCTGCACGTTGATTGCATCCCTAGCGTTTCAACATGTGGAAGACAGCCGAGGTGCTCACATGCCTTGACAAGGATCACAGCCAGAAAGTTGCTGCTAGCTCAGAAATGACCACAATTCAACGGCGATATAGTCTGCAGATCACGATGCTACAGCATGTAACAGCGCAATGTTCTTTCCAGTCCGAGTTCACAGCGCACTTGCTGATGCATACATACGTCTACATACATACGTACATACACATTTAAGTCCGGTATAAATATAAACAAGCGTATCTGCATATATGTATATACATACATACAAAATTGTCGACGCATTGCCATCTACTGGCGCCTGTGGACCTATTGTGCTGGGACATTTCCAGGGACCAACGGGCACACCTGTGTCTTCTCAACAGCAGAGCCTCCATCTCGGCTGTGACGGTTTTCGGAAACCGGAGTGGGAGCAAGATGAAGGCTTTTCAGAATCCGGTCGAGGGTGGCAATTGGTCTATGCTGACACAAACTCCACTGGTCTCGCATGTGGTTGTGTTTCGGAGACCCTGGCCAGTCTTGCCTCGCATCAGGTTGTGAAGCTGCAAAGCCCAAGATGGGCGGCAGTTGCCGCACAGGAATGGTCTCACGGCTCCTTGCTCTGCGTTTTGCAGCGACCCCGGTCACACGGAAGCCCTGAAACATCCAGGTTCCAAGTGTGCCCACGACAACATTGTGGCTCACCTGCAGGCTGGGAGCTGCAGAAAGCAGACTTAGTATTGTGTGTATCATTATTCGTGCTCTTATTATCACCATTGTCATCACTAGTATGATTTGTTGTATTGTTTAGTATTACTGGTTGAGAAGCCCTTCTTTCACATGCAGACAGGTTCTTCTGCACTACGATGGCAAAAGTGAGCTCGAAAGTGTCTTGGAGTGCACAGCATGCCACATTCAACCACGATTTTGATCTGCAAATACTAGTATACAAAAAGTATACACACATACATGCCTTTATGTGCATATATATATATATATATATTTATATACATATCTCTTCAGACATACATACTTACTTACTTACTCATGATGAATGGCGCTCCGAGGGAAGATCGAAAAAGCCTTCGACGATGGTGTTTTCACAGGGAAGCGACCCAAGATTCTTCCAGACAGACTGGTCCTCGGCGTTCTCTGAGGATCCAGTGTGCTTGTAGAGACAGATGCCATAGAGAGATGCTCGTATTTGGGTGAGACATCACTAAGGATACATCTGCATGGTTCTGGAGTATATGGATCGTGGAACGGCGCAGCACTTGTCGAAGGAGGGCCTGCTTGACCTGGAAGGCATCCCCGCGAGCGTCCCATCATCACCATCGTCATGACCAGGATTACTATCATTGTAGTGGCTAGAACATGCTAGTGCGCTGGCACTGTCCCACGCCTTGTTCCGCGAGCAACAGCTCGTGGAGAGACACTCACATGTCATTGTCGCTTCAGAACCCAGCATTGAACTCAAAGTAGGAGAGTCCGGATGGCACATTGCCGTATGGGAGGGCGCAGGGTGTAGCAGCGTTGCGAAATAGTTGATGATTTGGCACCTCGTGCTACTGGCTGCTGGATTTTCTGGAGCCGGAGTCTTGGAGGCCTTGCAGCCATCACTCGACAAATCTCTTCCGCGCTGGCCTTCATCCACAAGAGCTCCTCGGCACACGAAGTGTGGCATAGTCAAGCGCGAAGTCTCGCTCATTTCATTTCTTGCCACCCCAAGGCAAACAGACCCACAACGACATCAAGCCGGAGAACATCCTCCTGCAACATGGCATCACCTTACAGGGCTGACCAGCCGTGAGTCGCAGCTCGAGGGCAATCATTTCTTGCAAGGCGGAAAGCAGCAGCTGGCGATCATCTTGTCGCACAGCACTCAAATTTGTTCCGCAAGTGCGGCGAAGTGAACACAGCTGCTGTTGCTCAGGTGAAATTAGCAGATTTTGGACTGGCCCAGTGGTCCGTTGAGAGGCAGCGCGATGCAGCCTTGGCCACAGACTCCGGATCTGCACGCTTGAACTTTCTTCAAGCTTTTTGCTGGTACAAGGAGCTCATGGCTTACAGCCTGTGGTGTTTGGGGCTTGACGAGCCGCCGGCCTCTTACCTCGAGCTCAAGCCGTGGACAAAAGGACCAGAAGCCCAATCCCATCCCGGTGAGGTTCGATCACATGCCGTCGAAAGAAGAACGGCCAGCTGCAGCAGATCGCTTCGAGAGCAAGGCGCTTCTCAAGGATTCGCCGTGGGCCCCTTGGACTCTTCTGTAGAGCTTCCACAAACTACCCTACTCTCGAAGGATTCGCGGCAAGGCCTACGCAGTGCTCTGGCGAAGGCTGGCTGTCGGAGCCTTGAAAACTGGCCTCCGGCTTTTGGCTTCGCCGCAGGTTGTCCGAGACCTCTGGGCTGGTTCTACGGAGATGGCCGTTGTGGCGGCTTCGGAGGTCACAGAGTGGCAGTTTGTGGTAGGGATCTTCACACAAAGCCTGTAAACCGTGATGCCATTCTTGCCGTGGAGATACGTTCATGTCGCTGTTGCCAGGAATTCTGCGACATGCAGCTTACGATCCATCATGCCAAGCACGAGGCGGTGGAGGCTAATGCTAGACAAGAATCTTGGGCAGTGAGGATATTGTTTCAAGGATGCGGTCGGTGCATCTAAAGGAAAGGAGTCTTTGGTCCGTGCTGAAGAATTCGGGAGAGCAAAATCTCAGGAGATTCCTCCCAGACTCGAACGACAAGCCAAGCTGTGGAAAGCCGTGCACATGGCCAGCATCGTCAGGAAGTGGAGCCATGCGGACCGGATTGCATTAGGAATACTTTATTTCAGCTTGGGAAGCCTGTGACTCCTGACGGTGCAGAACTGAGAGCAGTGCACCCGTTGTTCTGGGAACTCATGCTCGCACTCCTGCCTAAGTTTAGAGGACCCCAAATTTGGCCGTCTCTCGCTCTCCCTCTCGCGCTCTCTCGCTCTCAGCTGGCACTGTGCTTCTGTCTTCCCTCCACATCCAACTGCCAGCCTCGGCTGTTCTTGTTTCTGCAGGACGACTCTGATGACGCTCACTGAGGGCCCTCTGTGTGTTTTTAAGTTTTCAATGGAAGTGGCTGGGCTGACCGGCGGTGAAGTATAATCTAAATCATTCTAAATCGAATGTCTTTAATGCTACTGCCTCCAATTTGTTGGGCTTCACATCGGTTCAAAATAAACGCTAGGAGTGTGTAAACACAAAGAATCTTTTCCCGATGTTTGGTATTCGGACACTTATGCAGCACCCAACCTTGTACGAGACAATTGCACGTGTGTTCTTCGGGCTCAGCGGGCGCAAAGTCGCCCGTGCAGACAGGACAAACTGTTTCTGCGAAGTCACCTCGAAGCTTGAACCGAGCAGCGTCTCTGTTAATGCAATCAGATCAATTTCTCCCCGCAAAGGGGTTCGCGATCTCCGGAGATTGTGGAAGTATGCTTTCCATATCGGGCATAAAAACGCCACCTTGATGTAGCACAGAGATCAAGGCCCCTTCACGCGCACGTTGGACTGACCCGCCGTGATAGATCAAACCAGCAGAAGGGTTCAGCATAGGGCCTTAATCATTGGGAGTTCGGGTCAAGGGGTATATAGGAACAGTGCTGGTTGTGACAACAACGGACATGTAAAAAGCATATACAGTATAGACACACATGCATGTAGGTGTCTGCAATTGTATACATGTACATATATATATATATGTGTGTGTGTATACATATACATATAGAGAGAGAGATAGGTTACGAGCCCTCCCAAGTTGGATGCTAGGGGGTTCCGTGTTAGCACTGTGCAACTTGAGACCATGGCCAGTGTGAGCGAGACATGCAATGACGATGCGTTCTGGCGAGCGTGTCTCCGGAAAGAGAAGAGATTTTCATGCAAACTTTTTATCCTCCCTTGAAGAAGCGAGCAGATATTGATGAAGCCGCAGACCAGTCGCCAGCAAACGGGCAGGAAGGGAGCAATGTCCAGGAGGGACTCCCCCGACGAGGTCACTCGGGTCTGGTTATCCAGGCTGCCGCGAAGGCGGCAGCCTCTGGCAGCGCAGCCAGCTACTGCGCCCCCGGGCTATGGCTTGGCCATCGGCAACCTCAAACACAGGCGCCGACGCAACAGAAAGCACCCACGAGGCCGACTGGGCATAGGTCAAGAAGCAGCTCTCATCCAGTCGGAGACAGCTTGGATGTGACCTTCCAGGAGCGTCTGACGAGCTTCGGGGCGGATCAGCTGCCGGAGTTGGTCGAACTGATCGAAGCAAAGCATTCACAGTTCAGCCCCGTGAGTTTGTGTACGGCCATCCATCGTGTGGCAGCTTTTCAGCAGGGCAGCAAGCAGTATCAACGCTGCCAAGGCCTTTTGATGACTTTAGAGTCTCAGCTTCGTGAGCGGCCGAGTCGGTTCAGAGCGCAAAGCATCGCCAACGCTTGCTGGGCCGTGGCGAAGCTTCATTGGAATGCCCAGTCGCTGATGGAAGCAATGATTCGGATCACAGAACAGCGAGTGGACCAATTCAAGCCTCAAGAGCTGTCCTTGTTTTTGTGGGGCATTGCCTCATCTCGGACTGCCCCAAAAGATGCCGAAGCTACAGCTGCAGCAGCAATTTCGTCGGAGTTCCTTCAGCGTGGAAGCGCCAAGTTTGATGCTCAGAGCACTGCGACTCTGGCCTATTCGGCGGGTGTGCTGCTGGTCACAAACGAAGCGTTTTGGTCCGCCATGGATGCAGGCTCGGCCGACCGTGTGTCAGAGTTCAGCGATAGGCAGCTGGCAAACCTTGTCTGGGGCTTTGCTACCGTCGCCTACACGGACTGTACTGCCGTCTTCACTCGAGTTGCAAAGGAAGCCCCGATTGCCAAGCTGGCACCCATCGACTTGAGCTTAGTCGCCTGGTCCATGGCCAAAGTTGCTCAAGGAGGGCAGGAGTTTTACGATGAAGTCGCCGATGCAGTTTGTTGCAAGCGCGATGCATGGAAGATCAGTGACACGAGAAACATCGCGACGCTTCTCTACTCCCTGGCACTTGCAGAACAGGCAGCGGCTCATGAGGGCGCTTTCAGGATCCTAGCAGAGGCAGCCTGCAAGCGTCCGGGAGAGTTCAGCCTGCAGGGCTTGACAAACGCAGTCTGGGCCTTTGCCACGGCTTGCTACACAGATGAACGGTGGTTTGCTGTGGTGGCCAGTGAGGTGTTGAAAAGGGACCACTCTGAGTTTGAGTTGCTGGATGTAGCAAATTGTCTGTGGGCTTATGCAGCCGTACTGCACAAAGATCCTCATATCATCTCAAGGCTGACATCCCTCGGTAAGGTGATGATGACGGAGTTCTCTGCACAGAATTTGGCCATCAGTGCTTGGGCCTTGGCATCATTGGAAGTGCGTGATCATCACTTTTTTGAACGAGCGGCTGACCCTTTCGTCGCACGCCTTCCAGAGTGCAAGTCCCAAGAATTGAACAACATGCTCTGGGCCTACGCCACAGTTGGTGTCAGACTGCCGTGGCTGTTCATCAAAGTGTCGAACCATGCAAAAGCTGTGGGACTGGCAGAGTTCAAGATGCACGAGCTCTCCATAATGATGTGGGCACATGGAACTGCCGGGGTTTGCAACCACGATTTCTTCGACGATGCCCGGGGCCTAGCAGGGAAGATCAAGATGGTCTGATCGGGCTCAGGATCCTGCCTGCGAAGGGAGGCAGGGCAGCGGAAGGTTGCGTCTTGCAATCGGACCCTTTTGGGGTAGGAACCGAAACTTACTGGTCCAGAAGAGAGACCCCCAAGGACTCAAACTCTGGCATATTTGGCTCGATGCTTCCCCTCCACTGAAACGCAAACTATGAGAGAGTCGTCAACGCGAGTAGCCAGAGTCGCATCGGTATCGGACATTTAAGCACTACCCGTGCTGGTGGACTGAGGTTGTGGAAGAAGTCTTGGGCAGCCGGGGAATCGACAGCTGTGCTCCGCGCGAGGTTGCTAATGCAGCCTGGGCGTATAGCACAATCATCGGTCGGTGCCACTGGCCCTGGATGCAAGCTGTGGCTGAATATTCCATCCAGCATATATGCGAGTTTGACATGCAGGGCATTGGCAACGTACTTTGGTCTTTTACCAATGTCGCAACATTCAGCGAAAGACTTCTGGACACTGCATGCCGAGAGACTGCCAGGAGGGCCCGGGAGGATCCTGCATCTGCCTCGCAGAACATCGCACAGGTACTGAGTGCCGCTCAAGCTGCCGGTCTCCTTCACATCGAACTCTTCCAGGCGGCGATTGAGGCTTTCCTTCGTCAAGGCTTCGCAGGCTCAGACCCTCAAGGCATCGGTGCCAGAGAACTGCTGATTCTCGGCAATGCCGCCAAGCCTGCGTCAAGAGAGTTGGGAGATCTGTGGACACGACTGTGCCAGTTCCTCGACTTGCATATCTTTCATTCCTTGCATCAGGCCGTACCCTGCGGCAATGGTGGCTGGTCAAGCATGGAAAGCCGGATCTCCGAACTGGACTTGGATCACCTAGGAGTGTGGTTCACGGCTCAATTTCTTGAAGATGTCAAGGCGGTGAGCTCGACAGAAGTCTACAGCCCAAGCTGTTCTGCTTCTGCCTGGGTCAAAGAAGCGGCAGCCGCTTGTGCTGTCGAACGGGAGAGAGCCATACGGGCAGGAATGGCTGAAGCAGCGCCCCTGGAGCAGCAAAAGCTCGTTCGACAACTCGACAAGGTGAACAAGAGGGAGATCGTTGCCTTCGTTCGCTATACCACGAGAGCCGGGCCGAACGAGCCGGGCCGGGCCTTCTCCTGGCAACTCGAATCCAAGACCTCCCCTTCGGCTATGGCTTCGGATCTTCTCAGGCCGATGATCACCAAAAGCCGTGTGGCCCCAAACATGCTAGGAGAGCACGACCGCAGCGGCCATGCGGAGCGCTGCGCACTGTTGCAAGTGACGGCTGACCTGCTCCAAGAGACGGACTCCGAAGGAGCTTCGAGAATCGAAGGCCAGATATTTCTGTACGTGACCCACTTTCCCTGCATCTCTTGTGCATGTGTCATCGCACAATTCTCTCGACTGTTCCCACGACTCTCTTTCCATCTAGCTTATGCGGATGGAAGATCGATTCATGCCCAATCTTTGGAAGCAAGGCCAAAAGATGCTGGCTGGCTGGGCTTTTTTGATTCGCAGGTAGATTTCTCAGGAAAGCAATGAAGCTGATGGTGATGTTCAGACACCTATCCGTCAGATTAGTTCTTTGAACGATTTTACGAAAGTTTACTGCCAAATGTATTCATATGGGCTTAATCCCAAACATTAGTCTTCGAAGGTGGAGGTTATATGGTTATATGATAGAAGATATTTATTTTGTACCTACGTATAAATAAACAAGTTTGTATATATATATACAGAAACATATACACACATGTGCTGTCTCGTCTCTAGCTTTATGC